GAGAAACTTGTTATAGAGGCACAGGCTCTTTAAGAGCGGCTTCAGAAGACATGGTGTCATTTAATGTTCACTTAATTCAAAGAGAATTATAATTTCTACCTTGTAAAAACAATCACGCCATACAGCTAAAAGTAAGCATAATTCTGTAATTCGGAACTGAAGATTGAGGGCATAAAGATTGCTCATTTGATACATAATTAGAGCTTAGTAACATTGAGACCCCCCTCTCAGAGACCTGCCACCCTGTGTTCAGGGTGGTATGGCCGTAGACGAGACCTGCTATCTACCACCGCCTCCTTTCCTTCCTCCCTTACCAGTTAAAAACCAGACTTCAAGAGAGATTGAGCAGATTATCAATCTGGCTGAGGATGAGGAGGGAGGATGGGAGGATGAGACCTGAACTTTGGGCAGCACTCTTTCCCTCTGAGGTAAACTTCCAGTGACAAGATTCTTTTGTTGTTGGTGGTGGTGGTTTGTTTTTTGTTTTTGTTTTTGTTTTTTTCGAGACAGGGTTTCTCTGTGGCTTTGGAGAGGCTGTCCTGGAACTAGCTCTTGAAGACCAAGCTGGTCTTGAACTCACAGAGATCTGCCTGCCTCTGTCTCCCGAGTGCTGGGATTAAAGGCGTGTGCCACCAACGCCCAGCAACAAGATTCTTTTTTAAGTAATTAGTACAGTATTTTAACTATGGAGCCACAGAGGCATATCTCCTCCCCTTCTTGAGGAGATTTGATGATGAAAATGGAGAGAAGGGTTGCTTTTAAATATAAATCCCAATGACAAAACAGCAGAACACACGAGCGTATGTATTAGAAGTTAACAAATGGGGAGGAAATCCCAGTCTGTGACAGAAGGGGAGGTGGGGCAAACAGGGAGAGGGATTGGGAGTAGGTTTGTTCTGTCAAACCTTCTGCAAGGCTGACCGCATCCTTGAGGGAATGAATGAAGAGCAAAGAAAACCAAGGTGTCTACCTGTACAAGGCTCTGCTGGCCCACCAGAGGAGAAAGTTGGAGCCAAAGGGTCAGGAAAGCCAAGTTCAGAGAAGTGAAGAACCTAGTCTATTACCCTGCATAGGGAGACAAGGTAAGATGTTTTCTTCTCTGCAACAGCCCCGGAGGGAGTCCTCTCACTAAGAATGTTGGGGCTGTCTTAGAGGGCCAGGCTGGATACAAAATATTTGTGAGAACAAATAAAAGACAAATGAAGGGTGTGGTGTGAGAAACAAAGCCCCAAGAAGCCTGAGACAAAAAAAAGGAAAAAAAAACCCACCAACCATATGGGTTTCTTAGCCAAAGTATTTTGCAAGGACTACAGTCAGGTCTTTAAGACATGAACTATTCCCAGGGATATCCAGCGCAGTGACACGTGAGTAGAGCCACTGCAAGCAGCCACAAGCTCTAACCAAAGCCACCGAGTCCCGCACTGATGGCACAGCCAGGTACATTTTCTGCTTGTTTTTTTTTATTTTTCATTAAGAGTGGGAACTGAGAACCAATGTACAAAGAGCTACAGAAGACCCTGCTGGGAACTTCCTCCAGCTGAGCAGACCTGCCCAGGACAAGGGACAACATCAAGAAGGATCCGCAGGCCAGTGAAATGATTCTGCTGATAAAGCCTGACAGCCAGAGTTCGATTCCTGGACCCCACCTAGTAGAAGGAAAGAACCAACTCCCAAAAGCCGTCCTTTGTTCCCTACAGGTACACTGTGGCACATGATCCGCTCCAGGTACGCTGTGGCACGTGATCCCCTCCAGTTTAAATATCACTAGAAAATTAATGATACATGGTACCCAGCAGGGTTCAAATAGTGAGCCCATGGTTGAACAGGTACGGACATCTGCCATGTCCTGTTTATTCCTCAATTACCCTTCAAATCTGTCTCTACCCTGCCCAGCCCTGTTCCCAGAGGGGCTGGCATCTAGGGACAGAAGCACCAGGCTCCATGGTTTCTTTGTGCAGGCAGGTTAGGCCAATGGGAAGCACTGGCGGCCTTGGGGAACTAGGATGGAGGACCAGTGACATGGGTCCCCTTTGCCCAGGCTGTTGCGTCAGCTGTACCTTTGTCTCTGTGGTCACCTGTCATCCGGCAGCATTTCCCTCTTCCAGGGCCCAGAAAAAACAAAAAAAACAATCCTGGCTTCGGCTAAGGCGCTCATTCCTGGGTGCCCCCCACCTCTCCATTCTAGTGCCTTTAACCTGTCTATTATATGTTTCTCAAAGGCCCTTTATTAAGATCCATTCAATTAAAAGCTACGAGTGTGACCTTTCCTGTGTGCAGTGGTCTCGAATAGTAAACATTTGCATACGAATAAAATGATTAAACACACACAGCCCCTAGTTTAGTATTTGTAGAAGGTGAATTCTTTTCTTGGATTTTCCTTTGAGTCTGTCTAGCAGAGTTCTTGTGGGTGCATGCATGCATACGAGAGAAAGTGGGAGGAAGGAAACTGTTGTGTTTTAGTTCCTGTCTCAGACATAATCACATGGAAAACCAAAGGATTCCCTAGTGCTGGTGCTCACTGGCAGACCCTCTGAAGAACGGCAGAGCTATGCAACGGCAACCTTTGGCAACACTGGGTAAAGTACACCTTGGGAGGTGCTTCACTCTATGAGTACCAAACATGCTAACAATTGAATTACGTCCTAGTGTGGAACTGCCCATGGTATGTACCCTAGCACAGCTGCTGTGCTCTGGTGACTCCTTTACAAGGAAAATCATAAGTAATAATCACTGTAATCACAAGAAATAGCAGTTACACTCATAATACACATATAATTTTGAACCCTGATTTTTCCACTTAACGATACGTAATGACCATGGTTTCCATGTTTCCACATCATTTTCATAATCATTACTTGCAAATTCTACATTCTATCTAATCATGTGACTACACCATGAATCACAGACCACCACTGTTTCATTTTTATCCTAGGCAGTTTCCCCATAATCTATATGAAATTTTACTATGCACAAAACATGAAATAAACTGAATAGGCCTGAGTTCTTTCCTTATGGGAGTACATTAAGTTGGGTCTTAGTTTGCTATAGGACCAAGCTGGCCTCTGGGATGGTTGAGTCCCATGGAGAAGCCACTTCTCAGAGGAAAGGGAGCTGGAACCCATGTTCAGCCTGCTAACAGTACCTGTGCCCCAGAGAGAGACAGAGGTTCTGATATAAAAATTGACAAGCTAGTTAATGGTCATGACATATAACTCTATGAGCCAATACAGGTGAGACTTGGGGGAAGCAATAGCTCACTTTTTGGGAGCCATCTGTGTCCATGGGAAAAGAATAGATTCTTCTTTTCTGGAGAGATCCACAAACCCAGTGAGAACTAGTGTCAATCAGGCTCGCCCTATATGCAGTTTGGAGGGCTGCTTTGGGGCACAACTTCAATGGTCCTTGTGGCAGGAGTGACATGAGGTGTCTGTCTCTGTAGCTTCAGACTATATTTCTGCAGGCCATTGGAACCAAAGGGAAGCATGAACTCTGTGTGTGTTCTCAGGCACCAGGGTTTAAAATTCCCCCAAATAACTGTGGAAAAACCCTTGAAGACTTAGCCAGCTTTGGGGACAGATCTCACTGGAGACAACCTCGTAAAGCTAGCTAGCTGTCAGGACAGAACTTTTTTTAAGTACTACTTATTACTAACAATTAGGGTCTTAACTTCTCTCTGGGTAAAGGAAGGCTGGGAAGATAAATTGTGCTGTATAAGTTTTAGACTAGGTGATGGGACCACAGAAACTTCATTGTTCTCTAACTTTTTGAAATCTTCATGTAAAAAAATAAACTGGGGTGAGAATAAACATTCCATTCAGAGAAAGGAGGGTGAATTGGGGTTTACACAAAGTTTATTAAAAATGTCATGCTGAACTGGCAACATCAACATTCCTCGTAAAACAAAATTTCCTAGGTCTGTGTTTGAATTCTCTGTTTAAGGTTAGCGACAGTGCTAAGATCTCATGACTGCAGTAAGGGATATCATGGCAACAAGTCACCAACCAACAAGGTGCCCAGAAGACAGCTGCTGTGGAGATTACTTCCTTCCCTGGGAGGAGATGACAGTATGCAGTATTCAAGTTCACTCTGAATTCACTTGTTTTATGGCTAAGACTCTCAACATTAACACAGTATCTGCAGCTAATTTTTGTGTCATAGATACAAAAAGAAAATTTAAGCACAAGACCAAACTAATCCCAACAGTGGAGGATTTCCTCAAATATACATTATTGAACACATGTGGGCTTCCCTCTTCAGCTTCAATGTGTGCTGAATTACCAGGATGGTTGAATCAGGATGCTCTTGGTTGCAAGCTACAGAGGCCCAACTTGAATGAAGGTAATGATGACTTATTACAACGACCTTGAAGTGACCACTCAAAGAATGTAAGCATAGACCTCTGGATAGTGAACCTGGCAGAAAGAAGTCAGCCTGGAGTGCGACAGCTGCCCTCTCCTTCACTACAGTACAGGGGTATGGGTGATGGGTTACACACAGAAACAGAAATAACACGGAAATAGCTGCATTTGCACTCACCCTAGCTTGGGTCACAGCCCATAAAAGCTAGAAACCTGGAGCACACTGTGCAACCTGCAGACAGCAAGTGAGAGAGTGACTTTTCTAAGTAATTCCATTGGCTTGACCTCTCTTTCCAGGCTTGAGTTTCTTCTAGTTAACTTGGATGGTCTGAGAGTATTTGTCAATAGTCCTTTCTATTTATATATACTTGGGGAGGGAGGAGTCAAATGAACTTGGTCTGTTTCAGTGACTCCTGAAGCTGTTGGGTCATGTGTGTCCTAAGCTAAATAGACTTTCACTGCAGAATGGACTGTTTAACCTCCACATGGAATATCCTTTGTCTCAACAAGCTTCCCTCCAACATGAATAGTTTTATTCCCAAGAAAACTGCTACCTAATACTGGCCATACTCACCATAAATTTGTGGAAATTAATAAGGCATAAGTATGCGATGTTGTAGAAAAGACATACACTGGTTTTAATTATATTTGTAATTGTTTTTTATTGAAAATGGATTTTCTTTCACACAATATATTCTAATTACGGTGTTCCCCCCTGCAGCTCCTCCCCACCTCCCCAGATCCACTCCCTTTAGGGCTCTCATCAGAAAATAGACATCTAAGTGACAATAATAAAACATAAAACAAAACAAAATCCAATAGGAATAGGACAAAACAGAAGGAAAAGGGGCAAAGAACAAGCTTAAGGAACACATAGACACAGACACACACATGTTCATACAAACAGGAATCCCGTAAAAACCCAAAACTGGAAGTGATAACACAGATGCAAAGAACCTGCAAGGATTAAAAAAGAAAAAATCTTGTCATAACAATATAAGACAAATAACCTCCAAAGGTGTTGAGTTAGTTTTCTGTTGGCATCTACTGCTGGGCAAGGGGCCTACCGTTAAGAATAGTTTGTTTCCCTACTGCAACTCCCTTGTTTCATTTGCAAGTGGTTGCCACTTGGAGATAGCTTCTGGGTTAGGGCTGAGGGCTTGTGTCCACTTCTTCTGGAACAGACCCCTTTGCATGCTGCCAAGTCTCTGTGAGCTCATCTGTGTGTCGTTTCTGCTGTATATAGAAGGCCGAGTTTCCCTGGTGCCTTCCATCCATGCTGGATCTTACAGTCTTTCAGCCACCTCTTCCACAGGGTTCATGAGGGGGCCCTGAGGAGACGGATTTGATGAAAACATCCTGCTTAGGACTGAGAGTTCCAAGGTCTCTCACTGTCTGCATAATGTTTGCTGTGAATCTCTGTATTCTCTCCCATCTGCTGCAGGAGGAAGCTTCTCTGGGCAAAGCACTGATCTATGAGTATAGTAGAGTGTCATTAGGAGTCACTTTATTGCTATGCTCCTTTAGTAAAACAGTAGTATTTGGTTTTCCCCTAGGTTCCTGGCCTAATGTACACAGGTCTGTTCACATAGGTTATCTATCAGTTTTGTAAAGCACTTATAAGTTCTAATTTTTGAGATTATAATTACATCATTTCTCCCTTCCGTTTCCTCCTTCTAAACTCTTTCATATACCCCTCCTTACTCTCTTTCAAATTCATGACCTCTCTTTTCCTTAACTGTTATTGCGTGTGTGTGTGTGTGTGTGTGTGTGTGTGTGTGTGTGTGTGTCTGTGTGTCTGTGTGTCTGTGTGTGTGTGTGTGTAAGTTGGGACTGGGCTCCATATCCACAACTCTACATTTTATTACATGTAGTGTTACCTTATACTAATCTTCATCTATTTACAAAGAGAAGTTTCTTTGATGAGGGGTAATGACTATACTTATCTCTGGGTAATTGAACAAAGTGGCAGCTGTAGGTTCTCCAAGATCATGACTTCAGTAGCCCTGGGGAGCTGGGTAGGTTTCTAGTACCTAGCATGATTTCCCTCTTATTGGGCAGGTCTTAAGTCCAATTGGAGAACTATTGGTTACTGTCAAGGCATGTGTGTCACCACTACACCCTTGGGATTATTGTTCCATGATGGTAGTTGTGGATCAAAGAATAAGACTGTTGGTTGCTTTTCTTCTTTGGAAGCTTACATGGTACCTTCTAGTTTCATACAAACTAGTCCTCAAGAAAGAGGCTTTCATGTCGGTTCTAGCTGAGAGGCCTCTGGGTCCACTGTCTGAAATACATGGTGTCTTCAGCAATAAGATATTATATTTTAAAGAGACTAGAACAATTGGAACAATGGGGAGTTAATAGCATATATATCCATGCTGTCACAGGGAGCTCATTTATGCTGAAGATCAGTCTACAGCAGTGGGAGATTAGACTGGCATTTATCTAACACCCCATGTGCCACTTGACACTATTTTCCATATTTGTACAACATACAGCATTTGTTTTATGAAAAAAGAATTTACAGTTACATAGATGTGTTTATTTTGAGCATATCTATAAACTGTCTTAGGAAGGGGTTATTTACTGCTAGGGCCTGCAGGGCCACTTAGAGCAGAGATGGTGTTCTCAGATGTCATACTTAATGCACAAATTGTCCCCAGACTCGCCCTGTACTTTCCATTTGTAAAATAAAGTTAAAGAAATTAAGTCTTAAGTAGCTAAGGGAAAATTATCAAGATACCAATGAGTAGAAAAATTAGTATTAATAGACACAGTAGCAAAGTGACTAATAAAAGAGGTTCACATAATCCTAAGTAACATCAACTGAAGAGACAAGTTCAACTAGAGACATCATGTTCTCATAGGATGTCCTTGGGCAACATGAGGCTGACTGGGGCACATATCTTGTTCCGCTGGACCAGGCTAGTAGATGAGGCCTACTCTTGAGTCTGCAGGAGAATAAAGAGCAAAGCCAAGGTCTAGACAGAGTTCTGGCATCTAAAACCCAGAATGTCCTGTTCAGCAGGCCAACTGGACTTGCTCTTTTCCAAACTGTGGCCGACAACCTGCATCTTTTCCCATTTTATCTGCACAGGGCTTTCTATTTTTGACCCAAGGACAGGGCTCTGTTTCACCCCTAACAAACCACCAGCCCACTGCACAGAACCTGTGGCAAAGTGCCTCCAAGTTAAGGACACTCTACCAGTTACCTTCGGTAGCCTTCTCCAATTATTGGCAAAATTAATTAGGGTGCAGCCCTTACATTACAGTTCTAAAGAAAAATATGTAGAAATATATTTATAAGGAAATGCCCATTTTTCTAAGTGTTAATGGGCAAAGGGAAACGGGAGAATATAGTTTCACTGCTTTTATATGAACCTTTCTGCCAGAACCTAAATGGGGAAGTCATTCGGGGACCATAGGAGAGGAGGAGTCAAACTGCTCAATTACCAAGAGTAGACCTGGGCGATGGCTCTGTGGGAAATTCCTAAGGATGTTTTCAGATCTTCCAGAACTATGATGAGGGGAAGAGAAGGCAAAAAGAAGCCCTTCCAGTAACCCCAGGAAAGGCTCCACTTGACTGAAGCCATCGCTGCTTTCTAATATTCTTCTCCTATCTAAACAAGAATAGAAATAGAAATGTAATTTGTTTTGCAAAGTCTTAGGGGGGAAAAAAACACCTACAATTGCAGCTAGAGCTTAACAATTTTATAGTAAACAGGATCACACTGCCCACCTCCCCAAGGAAGAAGGGATAGTAACAGGGATGATTCAAACCCAGTAGTCTAGAGGAACAAGGTCCACTAGTAAACTTGCTGAACCAAGAGGGAGGGATGGAGAAGAAAGATTCCAAAAGTTTGCCAACCCCAAAACCATCTTGGCCATAAAGAATTAAACCAAATACAATAAAGTGGCAAAGTCAGCATTTCTAGAATAAATATTTTACTATAACTCAAATTCAGTTAGCAATCTAACAACCCATTATTCTGCAGTGAGAATCTCTTTTTACCAACTGAAGAAGACACACACAATGTGAAGGCAATGTGATTTTGCTTTATTGACTACAACACCACCCAACATTTATAGTTAGGAAACAATCATAAGGCCATCACCTACAGTGCACTTTAAACTGTCACTCAACCCCCAATCCACTTATATTATTAACACAATAAGTAATTCGCAGCTCATCAGCCAATATTCATGATAGCTCATATAAAAGTATATGTAAGAAGAAAGAAGTCTAAGGAATATAAAAAAAAATCAGAAAAATATTTCCATATCTAGTCATAATCTTCCAGGTTTGCTGTAAAAGAAACCAGTAACAATAATAAGCATTCTTAGTTTCGTGCATACTTAATTTCTTTAATAACATATTTAACTTTCTACACAGAAAAGCTATTTTATTCTTTTATCATATTGTTGGCATAGGCTAACATACTTTGCTTACATTTAAAATCCAATGCACAACCAAATTTAAAGCCAACAAAAATGATTTTAAACTATTTTATAACTAGAAGTAAGCCATCTTGCCACATGTCCTTCACCCTCCAGCACCCAGCCCATGGAGAGACTCCTCCAGAGATCAGGAGGATCTCCAAACAGCCTAAGGGTCACTGACCACAGGAACCCACTACTTTCACAGGCATTAAGAGGCATCAGAAATACAGTCTTTGTACCTGCAGTGTGGCCAACACCCCTAATTGACACGTATAACAATAGTCTCAAAACACAGTCAAACTGTGGGGATTGTGGGGATATAGTGACAAAAGGGGACATTATTTACATAAATGCTTTCTCTGGTCTTCTGTAAACTAGCTCTGCAACCCACTAACAGAATTTAAGAATTGCATCATTTTGTGTTATAACAGGAAAAGGATGTTGCCACCACACCACATTTATTTTCCTTTTGTCTTCTGAAAATCTTGGTTCCTCAAAATGCATAATTATTACTTTGTGGACAATTAAGATATTAAAATATAAAGCCTCTAGTCTCATCTCCTCATTTTGGAACACACGAAAAACAGGGTGTCAGTGTTGGCAACTTCTATATTAAAAACTTGAAAGCCAAGTAATTCGTAACAATATCCTTTTTTTTCCCATAGAACATCACTGCTGACAGGCTTGATAAGTCCAACTTACAAAACACTATGAATAAATACAATCTCTCATCCAATATTTATAAGACATTCGCAAGCTGGATGTGATGGCACACGCCTGTGAATCCAGCACTTGGGAGGCAGAGTCAGGAAAATAGTAGACTTAAGGCCAGCCTGAGCTAGAATTAGATCTCATTTCAAAACCAAACAAATGAGTTCTGCCTCCTGTCAATTAAAACATTCACTTGTCATAAAAGGTCCTGGAAATAGCAGCAATGCTGGGGATTTGGTCTTTTGTTTTGTTTATTCCTTAGTAAAACTTTATCTAAATAGGTTTTCTCTTAAAAGAATTTTTTTTTCTGGATAACATGAAGATAAATGTCTGAATGTCATTTAACATATTCTAAACAACTAGAGCCTGAGTCAGGGATCTGTGAGAGGTCCCTTTCAAGCAACAGAAACTATGCTTCTACATGGGCAATTTTTAAAAGCTGGAACAACACAATATGAAGGGGAAAGCTGGGACAAGAGTAAAAGAGAGTGTATTTGATTATTTAATACTAGCACATTGGGTACCGTCTATAAATCTTAATACTCTCAACACATTTCTATTGGGTGTAAATATGCTAGCAGAAACTTGACCTTTTTATGAAGCAAACACTTTGTTCTGAACTTTACTGTTTATCAGAATACAAGACATGGGTGGTAGCTGGTCCTAGGTAACAGGACTCAAATGCCATTCCGCACATCAACAAGTTGGTAGCACCTACCTCTGTAGTCAATAGTTGATCATCTTCCGTAGGGCATCATAGCACTTCCATTTGTCTGGGATATAAAACGGCTCAAAAATGTGAGGAAACGGGGTGTCATATCCACATACTCTAGATATTGGAGCCTCTAAGTTCAAGAAACATTCTTCCTACAGAAAAATCAAAACAGGTGACTTTAACATGTTTCCATTCACAGAGATAAAACATTTCCACTCAAAATAAATTGACTATCTAAAACACAATTACAGTTATGGATAACAAAATGTCTAAGTATATTGTTACTTAAAAGCAGGTATGAGTAGCATGTTGGCATGACCCCAACTTTCCGTGATATGCTTTTGCATATACATGTGCTGTTACAGCCACATTTTTCTATCACCAGCACCAAAGCAGGACCATATCAATCATACTCCAATGAGTATAAATGTAAAGCAAGACAATAGAGCAAATTCCTATAGCACCTAACCCTACTACTTGCAATTAGTGATGATGTATGCTTTCTCATGTTTCCTTTATTTTTGCCTAAATTTACAAAATGACTGTGTATAGCTTTCATGAGTTCATGTCTGGGATTCTGCTGTGCACCACCCACCTACCAAGGTACTTGACTGTCCTCACCACTCTCGTAACCAGGCCTCTGAAGATGCTGCTGGCCTCTTACTACTTACAGCCCAAGTTCACTGCATGGCTGGTATGTGCTGACCTGTCAGGTGTTACCTTTGAGACTCCTCATTGGGCAGCCTCCTTTGACTATAATTTCTCAATTGCACACACATGTGACAGAGGGACTTCTACTGTCCTGAGCTCCTAAGCATGACCCAGGACAGTAGTCAACTTCTTTGTCTTGGATAGACAGACCATAGACTCCATAGGGGCAAAAACATAATTATCTAAATTTCAGTAGAACAAGCAGTATACAAAATTTAAATAAAACTTTAAAGGTAAATGACAGAAGATGTAACAAAACTACTATGAAGAAAACATCATTAATTTTACTAATAGCCATTATCTGAAATAAAACCCTTGGATTTAAATTAAAATAGTCACACAGTCTTGCTTCCCATAGGATCAGTTGAAGTCTAAATATTCTTACATGTCACAGCGTTTCTAAATTATCATTTGAACAAACATTTTAAATGAAGATAACATGATACCATATTTATTCTGTATCCATCATGGAAACCATTATCATCAGTTTTAGAGTAACGGAGACAAATAAAAGCATGCAAACCAGGTAAGTAAACCTCAGAGAGAGCCAGATCTCCCTGTGGTCCCATTAGCCACAACCACTTGCAGAATCAAATTCCAAACCAGTGCTACACTTCCCAGCAACAGGAATTTCCATGAACAACAAAGAAGTTCACCACAGAAGCTTATGGAGCCATTTAAGAGGTCCACTGATGATAACAACAAACCAAGACAACCAACAGGGTGTTTGGTCCTCCACTGCCTTCAGTACAACAAGGGATTTTTAAAGAGGTTTAGAGGGTCAACTTGGGATGAACTCAGTTTTATTTAGAGGACTCCAGCTGTTTTCCCACCTTCCTTGAATACTGCATTCTTTGTAAACAACTTAGCTACAGACACAGCATGGTACAGGAAATGGAGGACAGACCATGTCACTAAGTGCCTTTGATTTTACCCCTGCTGTAACCAGTGTCTTGGAAAGCCAACCTCCCTCAAAGTCACCTGTCAGCGAGATTAACATCACTCCCTTCGGTGTAGGAACAACAGCAAACTTGATTGTTGAACAGCACTGCTCCTGACTCAAGAATGTGAGCTTAGCTTTTTCCAGGAAGTCATCTACTACATGTTTGCACTAGCACAGAAAAAAACATTCACCACCTAGTCATACTTGAACTATAAACAGTTACCCTTTGAGGCTGGGAAGAGCAAGGAGGGAAAAGATTTCACTCTGTATTTTATAAGATCTATGTCAGGCTTTATGAGACAATGCTGAGTCTATTATCAAGTGACAGTGAAAAAAAAGAGTAAAGGATTGATTTCTGTCTGAATAAAAGTCCCTATTTCAGATTTCAGAAATTTGTGATTTTATGCATAGCCTTTCCTCACCTCAGAAGCCATAACTGTAAATTAAATAAGATGGAATTAGATGATTATATGCATAAAGCTTCATTCTACAAATCATGGATGAGAGTTCAAGGGTGTTGAACTGAAGACTACAAATGGAGCTTTCCGTGTAATTATCATGTGCCCTAGAGAGGTGATCCAGTTTGAAATTCTAATGTTTTGCTAAATGAAAGACATTAACCAAGAGCCTTTAGTTATTTCTTCCACAGACTTCAAGAGGAACGTATTGTAAAGCAATTGGAAATAAGATGTCTGGATCAATCAAGCGGCTGTACTGGTGCCCAATCAACTGGCTAATATGCAAATTACTTATACAACTATACTCCTTTAAAGTCCATCCAGACAGCACAACCTTGCTCATCCCCAGACTTTTCATAAAGCTGTACACACATACCAACAGAGAGACACCCACGCAATGCGCACACACACACACACACACACACACACACGCTCGAGGAAAAGACATTTCTGAATCTCATTATCAGATCTACAGGCTTATGTATGCAATTATTCCTTCAAAACATCTCTCTCCACTGTAACCACACAGATACCACCATTGTGTGCTAAACTTTCAGGGCAATCTAAGTAATTACATGTATCAGTCCGTTGGCTACTGAAGTACAATCATTTGTTTTTGTTTTATTTCACTCTACTTTATGTTGGTTTTCATTTTTCTGAGCCAGGATCTCACTGGGAAGCCCAGACTGACCTTGAACTCACTGTATAGACCTTGAACTCTTGCCAATTCTACTGTGTCAGCCCCAAGTGCTGAGATTACAGGTATGAGAAGCATGCCCAGCTTAAGCACATGCATATTTAAAAGTTGTATTTGCTGACATTTAATTCAGAAGAAGTGCACAGAATGAGGACTTAAGTAATGGCCTAGCCCTCAGGGCTATAAAGAAGGTTATTTGCAATGTCTACAGCAGGACAGGAGCTGGCCTGGATAAGTATTATGCCTTTCTCCCCAGGGAGAGCAGCATGCATGGGGCATTGTTCCAACATGATCACCATGTAACAAGGGTCAATAAAGAGTCCACACAGGAACCACAAGAGGCTTTCCTCAGGCCCTCTGGGATCCAGTGAGAAGGATGAGTGTCAACCCTGATGTCGTACAATGACAGCTGCATACTGTTTGCTCGTGGTGAGTCCTTCCAGAAGACCTGTATGAAACTCAAAAATGGCATGTGAATTAGCTCCTGAATGTGCTTTTGTAACTGTGAGGGGGTTCCCCCCCCAAAAAAAATTGTCTTAATAATAACAGTGACAGTGTTCACATCGTGCTGGGATCTGCGCTCAGCGACTTATGTGTTTTATCTTATTACTCCATTTCCTGAGTGAGGAAACTGAGGCAACCATCCGAGGTCAAATATTGACTGGCACATGCATGGAAAATCAAAGCACACTGCAAAGCCTGTGGTATCAGTGTCTCCTCTTCACACTCAGGTTTATTACTTCTCATTTTTTTAAATGAAAGTTTATGTTGGGGAGGGCATTCTCATGCCACAGAGTGCATGTGGAGTTCTGAGAACAACTTCGGGGAACCAGTTTTCTCCTCCTACCATGGCTTCTGGGAACTGAACTCGGGTCATCTGACTGTTACGGCAAGTGCCTTTATCCACTGAGCCATCTCACCAGCCCTAGATGCATTAATCTTGAGAATAGCAATAATGAGAGAAAAAATGAATTAGGAATGCCTTTTTAAAAAGGTAAAATGGAAGGCAGGTCAGGTTAATCACAGTTTTACAAAAGAGTACCGAATGGTGCAGGGAGGTAAGGACAGCCGTGGAGATCTCTACCCCATCATAAGGCAGGTGAAGGCCACATAACACGTGAAGAAAATGAAAGCACAAGTATGCATGGTGGGAAAGCACGAGGCAGGAAACGTACGTCCTGGGACTGGGAACCCCTGAGCTTTCCTAAGACATCTGAGCAAGCACATTCCCAGTGGTTTACATAGCAGCCATCTGGGTGGCTCTGCACACCACAGCCAGGAAGGGATGCGAGTACGATATAATTCCAGATCACTAATATCATGGACACAGGCAAAAATACATCTTCATTTGCCCAATTCCTATAGTATAAAATACACATTTATTTCCTTGGTTTGTTTTTGGAAAACAAACGTCCTGAGATCAGAAGTGACAGAGATTCTTCACATTTTTAAGCAGGTAAGAGAAAATAATTATAAGTTCATAGAATTGGGTCCAATCTAGTTTAAGGAAAAGGAAATATTACTGAGGTTTCAGCTATCCTGCATTTTATATCTGTTTTGCTAGATGTGACTGCAATTACTTGAGTGTCCCCTAAAAGGTCACACATTGGAATCTTCCTTACTTCCTATGTCAGTGATACTTGCACACAGAAGCTGGAAACAGAGTAGGGTTAGACAAAGTCATGAAGATAACCCCATCATGGACCCATGAGAGCAGCTATCCTTTAAGATGCTAAGTCATAATATAACCTCTAGCAGATGCCAAAACAAGGCAATTAGACTTTCCAGCCCCTAGAAACAAGAGCCATGTCATCTACTCCTATCAATTCACCAGTCTCAGGTATTTTGTTACAGCAACAGAAAACAGATTGAGGCAGTAATACATATTATAAAGTATATATACTTGCATAAATGCATGTTACTGCTTTCATGGAATCCCTGAAAACCTTACAATATATAACATCATTTTCCCCCATTAAAAAAAACTTAAGTTTATCAGACACTAATTTTTGTCTCACTGAAAAGACTATGTGGGCATTCCAGAACACTGTGGCTACTTCAGTAGCCCTCCGCAAATCCTTACATTGTTTTTATCGTAGGGTTGCATAGTATAATCGATACAGCATGGAATCTGGAATTGTATCTGAGGGGGATCTTTATTCTAGTATGATTTAATCTTTATAAGTCTCCATATGCAACAGCAAAATTAAAATACCTTTTTTAAAATTTTGCATTATTGTAGTTTTCTACCATTCTGTAACTCTTGTCTATTTACCTCTTTTGATGTGTAGTAACATATGAAAAGGTACTTGTTTTCATGCCTGACATGTCAGAATGTTCAAT